CTTGCAAAGTGCAAAAGATGGAAAAAAGAGAGCAAATCTGGGGTTGCACTGGGCCGAGGTATCTGCCGAGTAAAACCGTAAGCATTTGTTTCATATGAATTTGGTATGATAATCCTCTTGAAACTCAGCAATTTTGATTCAGTCTCTTCATTGTCAAAAACAACTTTTTCTTGTTCTTGGGTGTATAATTGTTGTTTGATACTTCGAATACAACATTGTTTCTTTCTAACAATACTCTTGTTAAAAAGACTTTCTCGAAAATCTTCAACTTTTAACTTCTTGACAACACACTTCTTTATTCCTTTACTCTTTTTATTCTCTTCTCCAGGTTTGGGTACCTTTGAAAGTTTCGGATTTTTCTTTTTTTCTTCCTGATTTCTTTTTCTCGTAATAATCTTTTTAAGTTTTTCACGTGTTTCTTCAGAAATTTTTATAAGCATATGATTTGGGCTTCAAGGCTATAAGTTCTTCCATTATTAAACCATTCAACTCATCTTTGAATTTTTCCAACTACTTTTTCTATTTTCAACATTATGTAAAGGATGGCATTCAGGATATTCACTGAAATCGAAATATTCTTTTATTTTTTGATCATTTTGATGTCTTCGTATAAGTCGGAAGTGAAAATTTCATAAATAAGGGAATCTGTGTCCTGATAACACAACTTAATATTTTCTCCATATTTCTTCTTCATAACATTATAATGTTATATTTTGCTAGACAACGTAGTTGTTGAAGTAAAATATTTATTATATCCTAATACGTAGAAACGATCACATAGCTTATAGCTGTTTGCCCTTATGGTCTGAACTTTAAATTCGGCGTATACGTGATCTATCAGATCGCGTGAGCCGATCTCACGAGCTTTGCGCAGTGAGACTCATTCCCAGCTGTTCAAAGCTCTTCGTTCCTTACGCGTACTCTTTACCAGATATACTTAATGAACTAGCCGGGTTCCCGTCACCTTGGTAAACCATTGCGGTTTGCCTGTCTAGCGCAAAGGAGATGTTTTTCAAACTTTTTCTCAGTTATGAGAATTTATGAAAGTGCGCCTGCCCACTTTTTCTCTCGTGGTGTGACCGGTACTGTATCCCTTTTCCTAGAACCTTGAGCCTTTGTTCCTGGCGTTCAAACTCTCGGAACCCATTTCGAACGATTTCAATGGCAATTTAATGCCTGCTCCAAGCCGATGTATGGCTGAGGATCGCTCGAGTTGACCCACTTCTAAGCCTCAATGTCCGGGCGGGATCAAGTGAACCTTTTAAGCTGTATCTTTCGAAGGTCACTGGGTGGGATATCTGATCGTTTCTACGTATTAGGATATAATAAATATTTTACTTCAACAACTACGTTGTCTAGCAAAATATAACATTATACTCCAAATACTACGAAACGATCACATAGCTAGTTTAAAGCAACATTGAGGCTGTGGCTCTTAAAGCTTCGACAGATGTGCTCGCGAGCATCGATCGGACCGAGGATTTATCCACCATTGAAGATCTTGTTTAGAAAACCCTTCCTTGTCGCGATTCTCATCTCCATGGTTCGGAGAACATCCGTCAGTACTAGCTATCGACGTGTATAAAGCCTTTTACTGGCTTATCCGCTTATACCCTCTGCCTCGAGCAACGTACATGTGTATTTGTTGATGAGTCCTGTCTTTGGACTCGTTGGGTATGAACTGCGGAAATGTTCCTTCTCCATGAGAACTGCTCCTGGTTAAGCAGAAATTGTACGTTTTCGAGACCAGTGATTTTAGGTAAAGCTTTTTCTCTTCTTTGAACCTTTTCGTTCGGAGATTGCCTTCAGTTGTATACCTCCAACTTTTACCTAACTTCCATTTCTGAAGCTGGCAGCGACTCAACCCTCTTCTTTGGTCATGAGGTGGTCTAGCTTCCTTGGAATGGCTCCCACGATCCTTCACGCCTTTCTAGCGTATACAGCATCATCGCTCCTTTTCCTGGAAGCTGCTGATTTCGATACCTCATTCAACCCATGAACCACACAATGGTTCGGATTCCGGGGAATATACAATTTGATGCAAATTGTTGGGTTTCGAAAGATCTTTGGAACTTTTAACACTGTCTCTCTGCCAGAGTGGACTACGACCCGCTCTCTACGCATGTCTTATGCCACGTCGCGATGATCATTACTTATTCATCGTGGAGAGCTGGTGATCCGAATCAGATCCGAGCGTAAGTTTGCGCATTTTTACTCTTTCTACCTAATGAGTAGATCCTCATTATTTTAGGTAGGCAAACTTGTTTCTCAAGGCATCTTCATACTGTCTGTCAGTATTCTGGCCTGTGCACTCTCGGAACTCTGATTGTTCTCTGCTAACCTCTTCTTGTCCAGATCGCTGATACGTCAGCTATACTTGTGAGCTCAAGCTTTCCTGGCTCATTTAGATGAGGCTGAGGCTGTCTCCTTCCGTTGACTAAACTTCAACATTTGCGGAGAAAAGGGACATACCGAACCTTCATTTACTCTTGTAATGCAGTAACCGGTTGGTCTAGCCATCTATGAGTGATTGAGATCGATCTCCTGGCTTTATCCCTGGACGTCTCTATGAGCGTCTGTGTCACCTCATCAGTGATGAGGTAACTTTGGCATGCTAGATCTATTCCGACTTGACGTCTTTGAATCTTGCCGAAGGATCAAGTTCCAACTTTGCTAGTTGTTCTTTGATTCAGTTCCACGAAGCCTCCATTTTTAGTCGGCTGAGTGGAACAGCTCTGTGTACAACTCTTTTTCCCTCTCATTTTCTTTCCTTGAGTTTCGGGTTCTTGCTTGCTCGCATACAGAGTTGAGCCACAGTTCCTTTCTCATAGCCTGGTTTCCAGATTTTCTGGAGCTGAGAGTCCAATACCTCTCGTTCCTGAGGGCGATTGTCGATCATTGACAGATTGAGCCTCATCATTAACCGGGTGAATTCGCTTTGTAGGAACTGGAATGGACTGCGGCTTAGATCCTTCATATGAAAGTGATAATTTTCTTCGCTGTGTAGCGGCCTCTCGAATCGGTTTTCCGTCTACCTCTCCGATGCCAAGCATCGAATCAGGCTTGAATGACGGTGATCTGAGGTATCACTATCGATCTGATGCCATCGCCGGGAAGGTGTACATCCGCCAGATATTCGAGGCTTTCCAGCTTTTCGTATTGGAATTTTCTCGAACAGGTATTCGCTGTTTCTGGTCCTTCTGATGTCTTCTCAGCTATTTCTGAGCTATCTCGCCTTGGATTTTCTCCTGTCGCATTTTTCTAGCTTTCGGAGCTTGCGAAACTGGCAAGATGTCGAACTGTTGACTAGCCATGGACGAGAATCACTTCTCTACTGGCGGTCGGCTTTCGAGGCCTTTAATCATTGATCTCAATGATTGTCTATGAAATCCACCGTTCTGTGATCCAGAACCATTATAGCTCGGATTTCTTTACAGTTCGTCGACACGAGCTCATGGAGGAGGTCGAAAGCAACTCGACTCTTCTATGTTTGAACCCTCACTCGTTTGGTGAAACAGGTTCTTTTTTCCCGATGATCTCCCAGCATGAGGTTGTGAACACTCGTGATAATCGAGAAACCATCAGGGTTCGTGCTCGGATCAAATAGTTGACCAGGACGGAGGGTAACTCGTTCTTCCTCTAATGGCTCGGGAGCTTTAGTCTTTGCGTTTGCCCGGCCTCGTGAATAGGCGTTCACGATGCTGAACTTTGGGAGTCCTTTGCTTTGGGACATTTCATCTGTCCCAAAAGGATAATGGATCTCCTTCTGGCCAGGAGTTCCTTGTATTGCCAATTTAATCGATAGAAGACGGGAATCGACAGCGATTTCGTTGACTATTCAATTGGAACTAACTTGTTCCCTATCGAGACGTTTGAGGTCTGTCAGTGGTGATGTACCGACTGACGTTCAGGGAAAAGGTCTTTTCCTCCGTCCTGAACTTCAATATCTCGGAATAGTTCGATTCAATCTATTCTATGTTGGCTTTATTTCCACAATTAGGAAAATTTTTTCCTCTTGGCGAGGTCGAGTGCTCGAAGGTTTCTCGTGCGTCGCGACTCTGCTTTAGTGCGATTTCCTGTCAACACGCTCCGTTTCTCTTGTTTGAGAAAAAATCCTTTCTTATGGATCGTATCGAAATGATTGACTTCTCTGAGGTTTTTCGCTCCTATCTTCTAATGAAGAACGTTTAGAAAAACAAACGGAGCTTTCAGAAATTCGATAGATATCGTATCTTCCTCCTGCTCTAGGAACTGGCAAAGTAGCTTCTCTTTCCGCTACTGTGTTCGCCAGGTTCAAGGAATCTATCGTCTTTGACGACGAACCGCGTCGTGATTCTCTCGGTTATAGAGCTTATGCCATACTCTCCTCTATGCCTCATTTTGGATTATCTCCAAATCGACTAAAATCAGTCGGCATCATCCTTCTGTTCAGGAACTGGAGATACCGCTCTTGTTGTTGCGAGCGCGTATGTATCTCCTGGAGTTGACAGCCCAGTTATGAACCTGGCTTATCATCAGCATATTTTACTGCTTTCCAGCCTACCTCTGTGCTTCATTGCGGATACTTCTGCCTTGTATGTTATCCTCTTTCCTCATGGAATGTGGGTTCTGATGACCGCTTCTCACTCAGCGAGGATCGCAATGAAACTCCTCTGACGCCTTTTCTTCTCCGAGAAGTACTACACCGTCAGACAGAATCATGTTTCCAGAAATTTCAGCTTCTGGGGCACTATGATCAAAGTGCGTAGAATCCTTGCGGATTTATGGATTGAATAATCTGCATTCTTTCATAGGATTCTAGTCGAACCCTGGTTTCTCAAGGTGACATGCATCTGGCTAGTTCAGGATTGCACTTCCTGTTCGCCAATCGCCTCGTGTCTGATATAGGCATAACCCACGGTATCAGTTTGTTACTGGAAACCTCAACTGGTTTTCCTCAGGTTGACAAACTTCTTTGTCCTTGCCTGATTCGTTCCCGAGGACCCGGATCTCGACGAAATTTACTTCGGAGTTCCAGGATTGGTCCTATTTGGGATCAACAGTTTCTTGTTGCTCTGGTCCGGGTAGTGACTCTGACTGTCAGTGAGACCCCGGGCCTTGGTTCCTTCACGGATCCACTTTCGCTTAATTTACGGATATCAGTCTCCGTTGGTTTAAGCGCGGTCCCTGTGGGTTGTGTATCACAGGGCCTCAGACCTCGGTTCCATGTTGGATCCGATTTTTGGTTCGAACCAGGTGAACGAGATCTCCTGGTTCTCACCAGGATCCTGTCTGACTCCGACAGAACCCCGACCGATCTGTAGCACAGGGCCTCAGACCTCGGTTCCATGTTGGATCCGATTTTCGGTTCGAACCAGGTGAACGAGATCTCCTGGTTCTCACCAGGATCCTGTCTGACTCCGACAGGACCCCGACCGATCTGATGATCAGTCGCGTCGACCGAAGAGCTTTGAACAGCTGGGAATGAGTCTCACTGCGCAAAGCTCGTGAGATCGGCTCACGCGATCTGATAGATCACGTATACGCCGAATTTAAAGTTCAGACCATAAGGGCAAACAGCTATAAGCTATGTGATCGTTTCGTAGTATTTGGAATATAATGAAAATCAAACATCAACCATTTACTAACTAGGCTCTAAGATAGCAAATCCAACATAAATTGGTTTATTCATTACTATTTTAGTTGTTGCCATTTCAACAAGATTCAATTCTTTGTTTATTATTATATTCCTATTGAAGTTAGGCAACTTAGCAAACTTTGCTATTCTATCCTTCTTCGAAATGTAATGAGTTTCTCCATTCTTCATCGATTCATTTTCACCAGAGAATATTAATTTATCATCAACTCTATTGCGAACATTCTCCATTTTCTTACCAAATACACTATTATTCATAAGTTTGAAGAAATCCTTTTCAAAATCATTTTTAGCTTTTTTCCTAAGGTCAGTATTCAAATCAATATAACTTATAATTGGCTTGCTTCTTATATTATATAAGAAGCAAGCCAATTACTCTCATCAAATGTCAGAATTCTCTTGACTTTCTTCAATTTCATTCCAAGATCTAGAGCTTGTAGCAGGTTTTGATAATGAATAACATAATTTGTTTTATCCTCTAAAGTATTACACAACTTTTTGATTCCATTACCAAAGTCTCTGATTTCAGGACAAAGTGGAAACTCATTATGCTTATGATGCAACTCATTTGGATATTCCAAGTCCACTTCTAGAATACACCCTTTTCCTTGACTATTAAGATTTTCTATGTATTTCCGAATTTGTGATTTGCTTACTTCATTCATAGAAATATTCAAAATACTAAGTTGGATTTGTTTCTCAAAAACAAAGTTGCTATGAGGTAATAATTGTTTCATAGCCCAACCATATAGATTATTAGCATCTAGATATAAAAGGAAGTTAGATATTTCCTCAGGATTGAACTTTGACGTGTATTTATTATTTGCTTTTGTATATCTTTTAATAGCATTAACTATTCCACCTCTTATTCCATCTTCAATCATGAAAAACTTTTCTGTATCATTAATAGTATCTAGTCTAACTTTAGTATATTTTAACATAGCATCCCAAGATAATCCAGGACTAGTATAATACCAACATGGATCAAGTCCATATTTATCTAAACTTAGATTACGGAAATTCTCGATCGATGTGTGACGTCACACATTTGCCCCAGTTGAACTAGACACACGCGACGCAACGGCATGCTGGAAAGTGCGCGCTGTGCGCACTCTTTTCTCGTGCGCACGTAAGGAAAATGCGCACTCTTTTTTCAAATTTTGTACAGGAAATTGCGCTCTCTTTCTAACATCAGGAAAATGCGCACGGTGATTCCGCTCTTTTCTAGATTGAAGTCCGCATAAATCATCTCACTTTTGTCTTTGTCATGAAGAAGTCTTTCAGCTAAAGATGTATTGAACAGCTTTTGATTATTTGAAATTTTATGGAGAATATTTCTTATCAGCGAATGATGTGCGGTCACTTCGGAATGAGATCAGGTGTAGTTTTGCAAAAAGTGAGATGCTCTCTTTTGAGACCAAGCTGATTTCAAGCTTGGTCTCAAAAGCTGCCGCGAAAATCTGCTAAAAAAGTGAGGGGCTCTCAAAATATACAGATGTTGTCAATCTGATAACATTAAACAATACAGAGTGGAGGAATAATTACAGCGACAAAAGTTTGTAGGATTAGTTCTCGCCGACCCGAGCTTATTTTTGTTCCAGTCATTATTCCTACCTATATATAATATGATGACCGTCGTGCCACGCTGATTTTCAAAAAGTCGTTTCTGCCTTTTGGGCGTTTACGGAAAGGCAGGCAGGCTTGGCAATGAAAAAAAAAATGAAAGCCTAAAGCCCGGCCTTTAGGCGTTCATTTTCAATTTCAAAAAAAAGCGCGAGTTCAAGCCAGAGATTCGAGAAAAACGTGAATCGTTACCAGTTTTGTGAATCGAAACCTTAAAATTACGTTCAAATTGAGCTTCAAGGCAACCTTATCGAATAATATCTGAAGGTCGCAATAAACTCCATTTCTAACCGCCTTGATGCGTAATTTAATATCTTTGATTCAAGATTTTTTTTTTTCCAATGTTGTACTTGGCTGTAAAAATCACTGAAAGAACTTTTTGGTGGTTCGGCCCGGCTCAAAAAGCTCAAATTTTCTTCATGTCGAATTTTTCGCTGTTTTAACGAGAAAATCGGGGTTTTTGCTTATTATTCCTCATTGAGTTATTAAAAACTGTGATTCAGCATGTAAAAATAATTTTTCTGTGAGAATTTTTCTCGAATCTCTGGCTTGAACTCGCGCTTTTTTTTGAAATTGAAAATGAACGCCTAAAGGCCGGGCTTTAGGCTTTCATTTTTTTTTTCATTGCCAAGCCTGCCTGCCTATCCGTAAACGCCCAAAAGGCAGAAACGACTTTTTGAAAATCAGCGTGGCACGACGGTCATCATATTATATATAGGTAGGAATAATGACTGGAACAAAAATAAGCTCGGGTCGGCGAGAACTAATCCTACAAACTTTTGTCGCTGTAATTATTCCTCCACTCTGTATTGTTTAATGTTATCAGATTGACAACATCTGTATATTTTGAGAGCCCCTCACTTTTTTAGCAGATTTTCGCGGCAGCTTTTGAGACCAAGCTTGAAATCAGCTTGGTCTCAAAAGAGCATCTCACTTTTTGCAAAACTACACCTGATCTCATTCCGAAGTGACCGCACATCATTCGCTGATAAGAAATATTCTCCATAAAATTTCAAATAATCAAAAAGCTGTTCAATACATCTTTAGCTGAAAGACTTCTTCATGACAAAGACAAAAAGTGAGATGATTTTATGCGGACTTCAATCTAGAAAAGAGCGGAATCACCGTGCGCATTTTCCTGATGTTAGAAAGAGAGCGCAATTTCCTGTACAAAATTTGAAAAAAGAGTGCGCATTTTCCTTACGTGCGCACGAG